CCAAACACAAACTCTATTCTCCCGAAAAACAAATATTTCTGAAAAAATGTGTAAATGTGTAAATAGATGTGTGTGTAAACTTCGCTATCCTCACTCACGTAGGTAAGTAATTAAAAAAATATAAGTAATTAAAGTAATTAAATTAAGTAATTAAATTAATTTAATTAAAGTAATTAAAGTAAGTCATTAAAAAGGTAAGTAAGTAAGTAGGTCACGTCTAGAGAAGCTAGGTAGGTCCTAGTTGCACTCTCCTTGTAGTGGGTCTTGCGCGAGTGCTAGGTCGGTCCTGCAACGGCGGCGAGGGTTCGAATCCCGATCGGAGGGGTTATGTATTCCACAAATATCTTTTCTCTATCTTCTCCTCTCTCTCTCTTCTCTCTCTCTTCTCTCTCTCTCTCTCTCTCTTCTAAATAAATCCCCATCGGAGAAGTTATGTATTCCACAAATATTTTTTTTTCTCTCTCTCTCTCTCTCTTCTAAATAAATTATGTATTCAACAATTTTTTTTTCTCTCTCTTCTAAATAAATCCCGATCGAGAGGTTATGTATTACAATTCTCTCTCTTCTCTCTCTCTCTCTCTCTCACTCTCTCTTCTCTCTCTCTCTCTCTCTCTCTCTCTCTCTCTCTCTCTCTCTCTCTCTCTTCTCCTCTCTCTCTCTTCTCTTCTCTCTCTCTCTCTCTCTCTTCTAAATAAATCCCGATCGGAGAAGTTATGTATTCCACAAATATCTTTTTTTTCTCTCTCTCTCTTCTAAATAAATTATGTATTCCACAAAATCTTCTTTTTTCTCTTCTTAATAAATCAATAATAAAATAATATTAATATAATAATCTTAATAAAATAATAAATTTTCTCTTCTAAATAAATCAGATAAGGGAGTTGTAAACATTTGGGCGCCCGTGGAGTTCTCGAAAGAAACGAAGAATGTAAATTCATTAAATTAAATTGAATTAATTAAACAATTACCCTATCCCCCCACCCACCCCACCCCTCCTCCATTTCGCGCGCCAGTTGACTACGTGAGTGGAGGTGGGGTGGTGGGGTGGGGGTGAACAGGTGCGCCTGTGTGAGTGTGTGTGTGTGCAAGAGCGGTTGTAATAATGATACGAATATTAATGATAGTGATAATAAGAACGATGGTAGAATGATGATAATGGTAATAATAATATAAAGGATAGTTATGATAATGATGCTAAAGGCAATAACAATTATAATGAAAACGATAGTTATAATCCTAACAATAATACCTACAATAACAATGATATGATTAATAATAATAATAGTATTAATGATAATGATAATGAGGATGATAATAATAATTATAATAATAATAACAAGTAGTAGTAGCAGTAAGTGGTAGTAGTAGTAGTATAATATCATTATCATCATAATGATAACAATAACAATTAATAATATAATAAGATGATAATAATGATATCAGCAATGATGATAATGATCATAATATCAATAATAACAATGATGGTGATAACAAAAACAGTAATAACGATAACGATAGTAATGATACTAAATACAACAGTAAAACAAAACTAATAACAGTAACAACACAACGACAATAAAACAATAACAACAACACACCAATGATAACAACAACACAACAATAAAACAACAAATAACAACAGTAAGAACAACAACAACAATAACAACACGACAACACAATAAACAACAAACAATAACAGAGTAACGAACACAACATTAAGAACAACAACAACAATAACAACAGTAAGAACGACAACAACAACAACAACAATAAAAAAAACTACAACATAAGAACGCAGCGGAACAACACGAGCGAAGAAACGACAGGAATTCGCAATATTCGCAAGCAGAAAAACAACAACAAACAACAACAATAACAACAGTAAGAACGACAACGACAACAACAGTTAAGAACGACACAACAGCGGCAAATAAGCGCAGCGTCCCGGGCGAAGAAGCCGCACTGCTCGACAGGAAGTTGGCAAATATTCGCGGAAGCAGAAACGAAGCCTTGTCTCCTCTCTGTCCCTTGAGGATCTGCGCTGGTGGGGCGAGTTGCAGGGGATACATTACGAGGCGTGGTGGAGTTGTGGATGCAGCGGTTGTCTGTGTGTATGTGTGTGTGGTGGATGCAGCGGTTTGTCTCTGTGTTTGTGTATGTGTTTTGTGTGTGTGGGAGAGGGGTTGGTGGGTGGGGAGGGGGGAGGGTTGTGTGTGTGGGGTATGTGTGTTGTGTGTGTGCGGGGGGTATGTTTTGTGTGTCTGTGGGGTGGGTGGGGGGAGTGTTGTGTGTGTTGGGGTGGTATGTTTGTGTGTCTGTGGGCCGGGGTGGGGTGGGGGGAGGGTGTGGTTGTGTGTGGTGGAGGGGTATGGTGTGGGGGGGTATGTGTATGTGGGGTTGTGTGTTGTGTGGGTGGGTGGGGGGGTTGGTGTGGTGGGAGGGGGGTATGTGTGTGTGTGTGGAGGGGTTTTGTGTGTGGGAGGGGCGGGTATTGTGTTGTGTGGAGGGGGTATGGTGTGGGGGGGTATGTGTGTTTGTTGGGGTGTGTGTGTGGGGGGGGGGTTGTGTGTGTGTGTGTGTGTGTGTGTGTGTGTGTGTGTGTGTGTGTGTGTGTGTTCTTGTCTAGTTTCAACATGGGAGAAGAGTTAAGCTCAGATGGCCTCGTCTGTTATATTGAAATTATCGTATAACTTTTTAAACTGATGCACATTTTTGGCACACGCCATATTATTTGGAAGATTGTTCTATATTTCAATAGTTCTTTTTTGGGAAACTAAACTATTTGATATTTTTACCGCCTCTTTTTACTTCATATTTTTGTCCTCTCGTCCTTCTTGTGTTCAATATTATAGTCCTTTTTATCTAACGTCACTCGCCTTGTAACATAGTTGAACAGTATATGCATGACACCCCCTTTCCTTCTTTCATGAGAATTTGTAAGTCCTTTTCCCTGTCGTCTATCTTCGTAGCTCATATCTCTTGGAGTAGGTGCCCCTCTTGTGACTGTTCTCTAAACTCTTTCCAGCTAATCTATATCCAAGTGTGGACCCACTGCCTAACTGCACCGCATGATAACTAGGTCTTATGATGGCTATTATTTTTAACTTATCTTCGTCCACACACATGAATGCCCTCTATATATTGGCAATCTGTCCTTGCATTTTATGGACCTTTTTATATATATGACCATTTGGGCTTAAGTTCTTGTTTATGATTATTCCAAGAAACTATCCTAGTTAGTTTTGGAGTTCAAATCCCGTTATGAGAATTGCGGTGGTTTTCGAAAGTTGTAGCACTTCTTCCTGGCTCTTGACATTTCCTGAATTAGTTTTTGTATTTTTCTTTTAACCACACGAATGTATGAGGCATGTACACTGTGGTTATTATTATATTTACCCCGTTTGTGTCTACCTGAATTGCCTTTAGTTCCACTCTGGGGTCTTGCTTAATCTCCTACTCCTTTATGATTCCTTTCCTTGTTAATATTGCTACCCACATCCGTTTCCATGTGCCCGATCTTTTCTCCAAATAGCAGTCTCCGAGTCCTAATGTTACATCGTGTAAGCAGGGATCCAGTTTGGATTCAGTGATGCATACTACATCTGGTTTATTCATTTCAGTTATTGTACTTAGTTCTAGTAACTTTGAAGAAAAAAAATTATGTGGTTTATTTGTATAAACTATCTCAAGATAATCTTTCGGCATTCGTTTTGGTTGCAAGGCAATGTTTGTTTGTCTTTACATTTTGGTTCCGATAGTACATTTGTTTTGCTTGGAGACCTCTCACCCTCCAAAGGAACATTTTTTCTTTAGTTCTTTGTTCATTTTCATTCTTCAACTCTTCCCTTTTTCCTGTAGTATTTCTCTGTCATCGGTCATATTTTCTCTTCTCCAGATTTTCTTGTATTCTTCGTGGGTGGCCGGGTCTTTTACCTTTATTACACCAGTTACCATTTTCTTATTCATAAATGTCACTTTTAAGAAAATACGGCGCCGTAAATGCGCTTGAATATCCGGCCCCCCGTTTGCATGAACCAGATTATCAATATTCCCCAAGGTTGAGACAGTCATTTTTCTTTGCCATCTCTGCAAGCTGTGATCTTATTTCCCTTTCCTTTACTGTTTCCGTTACTTCCAATACATCGGCATATGTAGCAGTCATCTCTTATCCCTCTTCCATTATGACGTTGGCTGCTTGCCAAATTGCTTACAATCTGCTTAAGTTTCCTGTTACTTCGATTACCTTTTTCTTGCAGCTTCTTGCTTTGATTTTGCTACCGTTGCCAATCTCGGTTTCCACTTCCACCCTTTCCTTCAATTATCTCGTCGGTTTTTTTTTTTAATCATCCGAGGCTGTTTGCCAGTCATTCCCTTTGGTTGTGCAATTATAGACTGCGATTTTAAAATATATGTGTATGTGAATGTGTTAAAATCAGTGTTGTTATTACTTCGAGTATATTGTATATTGATATTTTTGAGGATGAATAACGATATACATTTACCTAATGCAACATTTGGCTTCATTCAGGGTTTAATATGGGCAAAGATCGAATTCAGAATTTATAAATGGTTTTTCATTACTATGAATAATGCTTTGCAAAGTTGGATTTGTTCAAATTCCACTCTTCAAGGCTTTCAAGTGCATTATTTTCAAAATTCCCATATCTTGTGATATTCAAATGATTTTCAAATTTGTTTATATTATATTTTTATGCCTCTACTTTCCCCGTGCCTTGTCTAATATATATACATAATATATATGGAGTATGGTAAATTATAACCTATATACATTTCCACAGCATAAGGAGCTTGCAAAGTTGTGCATGTCTATTTAGTAGCCTTTTGTTATAGGGGAAATAATGAAAAAGTACAGCACTGAACAAATAATACGAAAGAAATAAGTACGTAAAGGCAATGACTCTTACAACACAATGCAAGATAAGGAGCTATTTAGAAATACGAGGAAGCTCGTCGTATAAGGCTGATAATGCACTATTTTGAACAATGATAAAACAATATGGTAATGGATCGTGGGATGACTGCACGACAGTATCACTCAGTGTGAAGTCTGTACATGGACTGGTGGCGTCCAGGGTTGGAGGGGGACAGTGGGAGAGTTGGGAGGAGTGGAACATGAGTAAGAAAATGAGGAGGAAAGTGAGGTTAAAAAGGAAAGCAATGGACAAGATGGAGTCAGGAGGAGGGGACGAAGGGAGGGGGAGGGGTCGAGGATGGGGCTGGGGGAGGGGAAGGGAAAGGAGGGGGGACGAAGGGAGAGAGGGAATGAGGGGTCGAGGATGGGGCTGGGGGAGGGGAAGGGAAAGGAGGGGAGACGAAGGGAAACTGAAGCTGTGAGGGCCTGCTGGTCTGCTGCCTTCAACACGACCATCCGCCACCCCCAAAACATAATCACAAATTTTTGCTCCCCACACCTAGTTGACTTGTGCAGGTGACCTCCAAGGTTATTTACAGCTGACCAGTATGTCGACAAAGCCTGGCAGTATCCTGGCTCTACTGATGCAAATCCCCCTGGCCTTCACAACTACCTGCAGGTCTATAGTGCAGATAGCTGTTCTTTGTATGTATATCTCATTCTCAATCAGCTTCAAGAAGGGTTCTCCAATTAGAAATGGTGCAATATTGCAAGCACATCTTTCACCTCATGCCACTTCCCTTGTAATTCCTGGGTGTACTTATATTGTAGAGCTAATCAAGACAATGTCAATTTCTTGATAGTGCTTACCAACAGACAACCTTTCACGACTGCAAATTCATATTTAAAAAACATTTATCTTGTCTCTAAGAATTTCAATCTGACTATACTCTGGGGCAGAAATATACAAAACGAGCTCTTTGGGCCTTGTGAACAGATGCATTCTACTACAACTACTACCCTTGAATGAAACTAAAAATAAAACAAAAACAAAAGAAAAAAACTAATACAGTATCACCAAAAAATACATTTCATTCATCACATTAGTACTTGGAGATCAATGACATATTGCCAAGTCATTATTATGGAATGTTCATGAGTGGTGCGTGGAGTCCCTTCGACAACCAAAGAGGTGTAATACATCATGGATGGCATCACGTGGGATAATGACTCGAGTGGCCTGCGCCGCTAATTCACTGCGTCTGAGCAGGCAGGGAATAGTAGCAAGTACTTGAAAAAAATTAAGAAATACAAATAAATAAAATGAAAAGTAAATTTGATTTTAAAAAATAATAATAATGGGAAGTTCTTGATAGAAAGTCATCTCACACTGTGATAAAAATTCAGTTACTGCATTAAACTGTACCCTAATGCAGTTCCATACAAGATATTGGATAACCTATTACATGCCCATAGATAGGAATTGACATCGCTTGAGACTAGAATAAAACCTGCTTATTTTGGAGGACAGTTGAGCAACCAAAGAAACTAGTTTGCTCAAGCTGTTGCACATAAAAGCAAACCTTACAAATTGACCTAAAAAAGGCTATTTCATTATACATAAGGCTGTGCACTTACAAAGCTTGAATACAGTTATCAAACTTCTTTACTTCTTAGCAAATTATTGGTTTCTCTAAACTGTAGCTAGGTACACTTCTGCATGGTCAAGTAAACATAACAATTTGGGACAAGTAGCTTGCATTCACATCTACAGAGGACGCATTGAAACTAAAAAAATCACACACGATATCATCACCTTAATTATGTGAAATACTATATTGTAAAGACCTTAACATGCGCAATGCTTGGGTAGATGGAGCCATAGTCTGAACTGGCATAAGGCTGCTGATGTGTCCACTAAATAACCGAGGCAAATAATTTATAAGGCTTGAGGTGGTGACGTACCTCCACTGCTGATACAAAACAGCTGGCATATGCCTGAACACCACACACCAACAAGCTGATGATGATGATAATGATGATGAGAGGCCAGGGGAGTCAACAATACTGCTAATGAGGCCAAGTTGATGAATCGGCTGATAAAAACCATGGAGATGGAATTTATTCAACTGATAAGGCCAAGGGAGTTGACGTAACTAATACAATTAGACCAGGGGAGTTGATGTAACTCAGTAGATGAGGCCAGGGAACACTGTGAGGCAACTCCTTCATCTCAGATCTTGGGGAGCTGGCTCCTCAGGTGGCTTAGTTTGTAAGGTCTGTAGTAGCTCTCGGGGACAACTCAGGATAAAAATTATTGTCCATTTAACAATATCATTGATTCAGCCTGGATATGTTGTCTAAGACAACTTAACACAGATTATTGTCCATGGAACAAATCTGCTGGCAAGCCTAGGTAAGCTGTTTGGAACTTCTCAGTGGATTCTAGGTGAGGTGCACTCCATGTGGTGACTCAGCTGGTATGGCCTAGGGGATGAAGAATTTCCGCTGCCGACGTGCGATGGAATACTCCGTCCAACGCCTCAACTGCTGGGAGTCCAGGACACGAGGCGCAGGACACGGGACGCCAGCTGACAAGTCTAGTAGAGTCTCCTTTGGGGGGGGGAGGGACAACAAGGGTTGTTGTGGCATCCAAGGCGACCACCTTCAAGCGCGCACACTAAATGTTGCCGGTCATGGAGAAGGGGAAGGCGCCGGAGTTGATGGGTGTCTTGGGTGACGCACACAAATAGATCATGTCGTCACTGTTAAGGTGTGTGCGCGTAAGTGTCGGCTCACTTGCTGAACGATGTATTTTTGGCAAGGAACGTACTAGTGATTCTAAGTTGGCTAGGATCTGTTGAAGAAACCGGAGATTGGTCAAGGCTGCCCCTGGCAATAGTGTCTGCATGTATGTGTATATTTGATATATTCAGTGAGTGAGTGAGTGAGTGAGTGAGTGTGTGTGAGTGTGTGTGTGAGTGTGTGTGTGTGTTGTGTGTGTGTGTGTGTGTGTGTGTGTGTGTGTGTGTGTGTGTGTGTGTGTGTGTGTGTGTGTGTGTGTGTGTGTGTGTGTGTGAAAGTGAAAGTAAGAGCGTGAGAGTACAAGATTAAGAGAGCGAGTGAATGACGGAGAGGGAGAGGGAGAAAAGAGAGAGAGGGAAAGAGAAAGAGGAAGTGAAAGTGAGAGTACAAGAATAGAGAGAGAAAATGGGTAAGAGTGAGTGAGACTGTGAGAATCACTAAGAGAATCACTGAATGAATGAATAAATAGTGGGTGAATGGAAAGAATCTAACAAATGAGAATGAGTCAATAAAAGAATGGTAAACATATAATAAGAAATGAAAATGATTGAACAGTAAAGGAATGAATGAAAATGCGAGGTGAATAAAAGAATATGACTGAAAGTGTGAATGTGAGTCGATGAATGACAGACAATTGAATGAATAAATATAAGTGTGAATGATAGTGAGACTGAAAGTGTGATGATGAGAATGAGAGAGACAGAATGGAATCAAGCATACACATGTATAAAATAATTGTATATTTCATTTTAATGCATATATACTGTATTATAAATCTTCAATTATAATAAAAGATGTCTAGGATCAGTAACACACACACACACACACACACACACACACACACACACACACACACACACACACACACACACACACACACACACACACACACACACACACACACACACACACACACACACACACACACAAATGTCTTCTACACGTACCTGTTGGAACAGCGGTCTATCATCTCGATTGTATTTAATACAATCATCTAAGATGCGACGTATTGGCTTGGGCATATCTGACCGTAAGTAGGACATGTCTGGCCGCAAAAAGCCTCGGCCAACCATGAATAATATCTGGAAAGACGGCAGAGATATTGTATCCGGAAAGTGCTCGGGCAAAATTGAATTTAAAAAGTCAAATATATTTGGCATGATGTCCCCCTGTAAATATCATAATCATTATCATTTCTTCAATATATTCTGATTAATAGCAACAAATACTTCAAATAGGAAGCACATGCTAATAAGCAATTGTAATTTCTAAGATCATCATTGTCATCGTCTAGAGATTTCCAAGCCGAACCTCCCAAAACTCATCCCCCATAGACACAAACAAAGGCCAAACTAACCTGATCTTTGTTGTTTATATGCGAATAGGGGAGGCAGCCCGAGAAGAGTTCATACAAAACGATCCCAAAGGCGTACACATCGCTTTGGAAAGTGTACGGGTTCTCGTCCTGCATACGGATGACCTCCGGCGCCATCCAGAGGATTGATCCAGACGGCTGCTGAATCTGTCTGCCTCCCGGGCTCTCTTGGCTCCAGCGGCCACCCTGGAAGGAAAGAAGGGTTGAGCTTCGAATCTGAACTGTACAGTCAGAGATAATTTTGTCTTCAGAATCAAACTTAATCTTTAAATCTATTATCTAATCTTCAAATATCAATTAAGGTTAATGAAAATAATTTAATCCAAATCTTAGTTTCAAATATTACCAAATCCTCAAATCTGACCTTAAATATATGTTAAAAATCATATTCAAGAAACAATTGAAGTAAAAGCATATCACTTTTGTATAAAGATGTACCAGAGAAAATCATCATTAAGAAAAAACAAGCATCAGGCAATACAAGGACATAATTCCTCAGGAGTTTTTCTAATACAATGCGAGATTTATAGATCTATCCATTTACAACAATGTACTCCTCTCCCTGTTCTACCTGCATCATTATTGCCATTTTTACTAACAACCGTAATAAATACAAATAGGAAAAAATAACGTAAAGCATATTAGTCCTTCCACATTGTTTTCTTTCATTTTCAATCCTTATAATGCTTTTAACAATGTGGCTGCAGCTGCTGCGAGGAGAGCAGGTGGTGGTAGGAGAGGCAGAAAGTTACTAGGCATGGAGGAGAGCCACTGGGAGAAGACTTCTGTTGGCAAGCATGTATGGCTTGTGTGGAAGGTGGGCCCATTCCTGCCCCCTTTTTTTGAGTAAAGTATCCAATTCAAAAAAACTTTGATATATATCATGAGTTTCTTTAGAAGATATAGATGCAGATTCCTGATTCACATTCCTGACTCTAGAGACTCGCAGAACATTTCCAGTCTGTATGCCACTACTTAGCACTGTGAATGGCCAGAAACTCCTTCAACCAGAACTTAATACTTCCTTTGACACTCCTTGATAAAATGAAATAAAAAATGTACAATACAATTACCTTGACTGTGGCCAGACCAAAATCACCAATCTTGACTGTATAATCATCATGCAAGAATATATTATTGGATTTAAGATCTCTATGAATAATATTCTTTGCATGGAGGTAACTGAAAAGAGAGATAAGAAACCATTAAATTCTGCGTCACACCCTAAAATAGGAAAGGTATATAAATACAGATTCCTTCCTTTCTATAAGCTTATAGGACCTGATTGTATATAAACAAAGAACAGTCTCAAATATATCTCATACTTCTCTGATTTTAAAGTATTTTCTGAAATTCTGGATAAAATAGAAAAACTTTCTCTTCTAACTCAGTTATATAAAACATTTACAAAGCAAAACATACATACATATAAATACAGTTGCTCTATATATAAATATCAATGAATTTCCTTTCCCATTCTCATTTCTTATATACATCAAGGGCTGACAACTAGGCATAGTTTTGTCCTTTTCTGGCAAGGATGGAATATGTTGTACTATGTTTGTACTTTAAGTTCACATCCATATAATAAAGTACTTTTGGTAGAAGTAGCATAAGCAGTGGATTGCACTTATTTTGGCCAATATGAACATCACCACTTCTAGTCATCCTCCCATGTGACAGTTCCATAAAAATTCCCCAACACATACATACTTGTGAAATAACACACCTTCCAAAGTATACTTGCACCTATCTAAATTAAGCACTGAGAGAGACTTACTCCATGCCTTGTGACGTTTGCCTGGCAATGTCTATAATTCTCATAAGTTCAAATTTGTTTTCCTGTACATGAAGGTGCTTGTAAAGGCTAGAGCCTTCACACCACTGTGTCACAATGGCCAGCTGCTGCGTCTTCACACACCCCATAAACAGCAATATATTAACGTGTCTGAAATGAGGAATGATAGGTTTAATATGGTAAGTTATTCATGAGATTTTGGGTAAATTGGACTGCACATCAATTTTCAGAATTATAGTCATAAAAATATCATCAAAATTATTTACTAGAATTATTTACAGGAAAAGACAAAAGCTAACAATGTCTGATGAAAATAATACTATTTTCTATATCAATATATATAGACATCAACTTTTTAAAAACGTATATCATTCTGTTCATATGTCAAAACAAACCACAACATCCCACCTTGTTTTCTTGAGTACCGAGACTTCATTCTTGAAGGCTGAGTACTGTGCTGGTGTTGGATCACGGACATTTAATGTTTTGACTGCGACTGGGCCATGCCAGTGACCCCGATACACAGTCCCAAATGAGCCGGACCCGATGCGATGACCAATCAGGATTTCATCTACTGGTATCTCCCAGTCCTCCACTGTGTCTTTTGATGACTGTCTGACCTGAAACAGATGGTAATAATACAATTAGAATTTTGTTTAACAGACATTATTCCTTATAATGACAGATATTACAGCCATTTCACAAATGTAACTTTCAGTGGCATATTTGTATTCATCCACAGATCATTTACTCAGAATCAATCAGGATCACTGACTCACCTCACACGTTCAGTAATCTTTCATCCACCGTCTGTTGATGCACTTGCTCAAAAAATCATCCACTTTTAATTTCATCCAAGAAAATGTTCAATTCTTACATGCACTCACTCTAGCACTCCCTTTCTTTCTCCCAATACAAAATGCCGGCCTTAAACCTAGAACAGATGGACATGGGCAATACTTACTAACTGGTTACTAACCTTCTTGCCTGAAACAGATTCATCGGCTGATCTAGCTCTGGGTCGCACAGTTTTGAGAGTGTTGGTGGGGGAGGCCTGGGCAGAGTGAGAGCCTTGGACAGGGCGCGTGGGACTGCTGGTGGGGCTGGTCGAGGGAGGCGGGGCTAGGATCCCCCCGCCTCCTGTATACCCTGGGGAGGGCATCATGATGTGGGACATGTGTGTGGGGGGGCTCCAAGTCCCCCCCCCACTATCATGGAGGTACAACGTTGAGGACCCAAAGAAGTGGACCCCTGCACAGAGCAATGGCCCGGGAGAGGGCCGTGTAGACGTGCAGCATAGGCGTACACAGCAGCAACACAGGCAGCAGAGGAACCACATGGTAGGGGAGACATGCACATGCACATTAGCAGACATATAAACACTGAGCCACTTCTCCCATCATAAACAGATAACTGACAATACTTCCAGCACATTACATTTTCTTCTAAAGTCCAAATCTCCCAGCAATACAGGACACCCAGCATTCCTAGTCAAAACTGATGCAATCAACTGTAATTTTACTTCTTTTTCCTCTCCTTAAACCAGTAATCATTATTAAGCAAGATAAGCTGAAAGGCTCCAACTCTACAAGATAGCTTTCTCACTGATTTGTAAATAATATCCCAGGTGTCTTTATGGTTAATTACTTGTTACTGCAATGGCTCTGCACCTACATTGAAAAAGGAGGAATTCAAAATCATTTTCCTGTGACTTTCCTCCACATTTCATTATCATTACATCTTTAAACAGAGACTCATGTGTTCTGAAAATGAATCTTGTTTCATGGTTAAATGCTAGTCTGGCTCTTCTTCCTCCTTTGCTACTATACCTGATAACCTCACATTCTACTAGTGCATCACGGCCGTCAATTGCTTCCTCTACTGCATGGAAAGCAAACAGGATTCATTGACAAAATTAAAATGTATCTAAGCAAAATGTCTGACAGCTGTCAATCATGTCTATGCAGAATTACATTTAATACCATACTACAAAATAATATGTACAAATCTTTATCAACTTTATCTATTTAGCAGCAAATAAAGGATCATAAACATGGTATGGGGGTATAAAAATTAAACAAATACATACATATATACATATTCAAGGTAAAAATCAATCAAGCCCACATTTCAAATTTTCATCGTGACACCAAAAAATCTGAACAGAAATATTTGTGATCATTCCAGTCCCTTTCGAATGACACCTGGAACATCTTCTGAGAGCAGAATTCCAAAAGGTACAGCCAAGACATCCTCAAGGACAGTGCCTTCCGCAAACCCACATTGAAAGGTAAATAGCCCTGTGCTGAATTCAACATGGTGCTGGTAAGCAGAGCTCGTCTTTTAATAATAATGATCATATGCAGTGCCAGAGAGTATAAAAAGCTTGATTCCTTTTTTTTTTTTTTTTTTATCTTTCTTTAGCTAAACTAAACAGATAAGAGAGACAATAAAATCTACTCTGTGCTTATTATGAGATCCTAACCAGTGCATGCTCAAGCTAGGAGTACCATAATTAATTTTATGCAGTGTGCAACAATTTAGGTCTAACAAATTCATCAGCAACAATTCTTTTTATCTGGTCAGCAACAGTAACAAAAAGTTGCAAAAAAAAAAAAAAAAATGTTGACTGTACTGAACTGCCGACAAAAACCGTAAAAACGTACACAGCAAACCATGACGTTTCCACAACTCAAGATCAAAAGGTCTGCTCCTCCATCAATTAAAACTGAATATTCCACAGAACATGATGTATCATTGAAAAAAAAAGAAAAGAAAAAAAAAAGGAAACCAAAAAATACACAAGAAAATGGCAAATCTGTTTTAAATCTGCAGAAACATATAAAAGGGAACACCTGTAGATAAAAATTTTACAAATATTCCACGGCTAAGTCTTGCCCAACTACAAGGGGATCCATTTAATAACATCAATAGAAATCATTAAAAAAAAAAAGAAAAAAAAAGAAAAGAAAAGAAAAAAAGGACATTGAATACTTTGAGTATGGTTTATATGGACCAGTATGTAGATTACTGCAAAGATATCTATATATATATATATGCATTTGGTATATCAAAAACAAAAATCAAAGCTGCAATCTTTTATATTGTTCCACCATAGGTATATATATATTTTTTTTATAAGAAATCAAGAAACACAACAGACATTCATACAAAAAGTCTACATACTGGCTGTCTTTACACAGACATCAACAACCCACTACAAGGACTGCGCACACAGTAAGCATGAGAGAAGTACGCGTGAATAACATTCTCCTTATAAGTGCAGCTAAAGTCTTCTGAAGCTTGTAAATGCCAACAGAAGACGGATTATCTGATATCAAGAGAGATTAAACTGATATCCCTTTTATGAGCTTGTTTAGTAACTCTCTTACCTGCAGACTTCTTCCCTCTTTTCTTAAACGTTTCTCAAGTACATTCATTATTTGAGAAAAAATGTCACATATTGGATAAAAGTTAGTAGGAACATTCTCCCTTAGTTTCTCCTTATCATTAGTAGATATCTTCTTACAAGGATATGACTTTTTTGACACAAGAGATAGCCCTTATTGTGATATAGAAAAAAAAAAAAACAATAATTTCAAAGGCAAAAAGGGTTAAGAATATCTTCAAAACAACAAATACATTTTCACCAATTGAACTGCAACGCACTGAATGAAAACAATTTTGGTTGAATAGCCCTCCATAATACACCAATTCTTACTTACCTACATAGATTCAACACTAATATAAAAAAATCATTACTACAGTGCAAAAATTTCTTTCCTTTCCCATGAAATGAGAATTAATAAGACAAGCATGGTCTGGAAAAATATACAATGTCTACAGCAACCAAATTGAAAATGCTTTATAGAAGTAAATAATAACAAAGATGACAATAATAATAATAAAAATAATTGAAATAATAACAATATAATATAATAATAATAATATAATAAATATAATAATAATAATAATAATTATAATAATAATAATAATAATAATAATAATAATAATAATAATAACAATTATTATAATAATAACAAAATAATAACAATAATAATAAAAATAATAAATAATAATAATAAAATAATAATAATAATAATAATAATAATAACAATAACAATAATAAATAATAGTACACAAACATGTCTCCCAAATACGGGAAAATTCGCTTGTTTGCCCTACTCATCAAAGTTCTCAGACAAACCCGCAAATAACAAACCCCCAGTTATCTGACAGGAGAACACAGGTGCAGATTCCCCAAATGGAGAGCAAGTTACCACCTGAGCCTCTCTTACAACCTCCGTACCCTCCTCCTCCCTTGGCCAAAAAGATCTTCTCTAGGGTCGACAACCAGCCCAAGACTTTGCATGTCATACTAAAAGGAAGCCGTCAACCCCTGTGTGACTGAACCTCAAAACACAAAACCTTATAAGCTTACAGGACTTGAAAGTTAATTTGGAGTTAATAAGTAAATAAATAAATATGAGAAAGTACAATGAAGGAGAGAAGAGAAAGAGAGAACAGAGGGAGGAGGAGGGAAAGGAAAGGGAAGGGGAAGGGGAAGGGGTAGGGGAAGGGGAGGGAAGGGAAGAGAGAGAGAGAACGGAGAGAGAGAAGAGAGAGAAGAGAGAGAGAGAGAGAGAGAGAAGAGAGAGAGAGAGAGAACGGAGAGAGAGAGAGAGAGAGAAGAAGAGAGAGAGAGAGAAGGAGAGAGAAGAGAGAGAGAGAACGGGAGAGAGAGAGAGAGAGAACGAGAGAGATACGGAGAGAGAGAGAGAGAGAAGAGAGAGAGAGAGAAGAGAGAGAGAGAGAGAGAGAGAGAGAGAGAGAGAGAGAGAGAGAGAAGAGAGAGAAGAAGAGAGAGAGGAGAGAGAGAGAGAGAGAGAGAGAAGTCTAAGATGGAGAAGAAGAAGTAGATAAGAAGAGAGAGACACAAAG